GCAAATAAGACAAAAAGTTATTTTATAAAAATTACCTACTGCAGCTTTAAGACCCTGCGGACATGCAATACAGTTGAAACACAAAATTCAAAACCCATTACTCTTAAACCTTTTTTCATACCTGAAAGTCGGGGTTGGGGCCCAGGGTGAGGTCGTAGCCGTAGCGCCCGATGGTCATGAGTCCTGAGAAGTCCAGGGCGGAGCACTGGGACACAATGTGTTTCACTGTGTTCACAGTCTCCTCAGGGGGCAGCCCATGCTTACCTACAACAAACATTTGACATCCTGTTCGTAAACAACTGACTTTGTGTGCAAACAGGACGTGCACAAATGGAGAACAGACAAAAGTGACACCGACTCTGTTCTCCGCTGGTGTTGATCTGCACCATGACCTTTAACCTGTGGGTGCTGGCTCCTCTGATGCGCTGCCACGAGCTATTGACCTTGTCAGCCAGTTTCACCGAGTCAACCGTCTCCACGAGGAACAGGTTCTTCACGCCTGGGGACAGAAAGACAAGACTCAGTACAAGGTTGTTGTTCTTAAAGCTGCAGGAGGGAACCTTTATAAAAATAACTTTTTATCATATTTTGCTGAAACTTTCACTATATCCTGACAGTAGTACATCTGTGAAAAAAATCAGGTTCCTCTGGCTCTTCCTAGTGCTGCTAATGGCAAACTTATTTTTATAAAAAGGTAACCTACTGCAGCTTTAAACACAGCTTGAGCAGGAGGACTGACAATCACTCACCCAAAAGTTTGTTGACGCTATTCTTCTGTAGGTGGCCGATAAAGTGCCACTTGATTTCTGGACATGAGCCTAAGATCTGGATGAGGAGTAAAAAAAAAAAAACACTAAAAATATGTCACAGAGTGGAGTGGGATGAAAATCAAGTTATAAATACACCTACCAGAGGATCTGAAGCTTTCTCCACCAGTTCATTAACCTGGAGGAGAGATAAAGGACAAGGTCAATCTCTAAACTATTTCCTCTCACAGTTTTATGTTTATGCAGCCACACTTTGGAAAGTCTGGCCTGTGCAGCGTTTTATACTCACATAATTTTCTCCAAAGTTGCGCTGCCCCTGTCTGTAGGCCTCCACAACCATTTCTGGGGGTTTTGTCTTGCTGACAGCAACGAGGCGGGGCGGCACAGCTGGCAGCGTCTGAGGAAGGACAAAATAGGCTCATTCTTTATCTGTATCAGCGAATATATCAGGAGGAGCTCGGTGTGCGCTGCAGCGAGGTGGCCGAGCTCTTTAGGCTCTAGCAGAGCAGTGACTCAGCCCTGTCAGCACCCTGCACTACAGTGAGGATTGTTTCTGTGTCCAGATGTTGCTACACATCAGCTCTACTAAGGATTTAGATTGGAAGTCACAAGCCGCTGAAAGACATCTGGATGACATTGGAAAGACGCTGTATATTCCTACATGCTTTGACCTAGATGAGCACTTCATGGAAATGACATTTTCACTAGTGGACATCTTTCACTCAAGCTGTAGTGTGAGGAGAGGTTGAGCAAAAGCGTGTAAATGAATACAAACATGGCGAATAGCAGTAATAAAATCAGGATTCCGGCCAGTATTTCTGTGCATGCACACTCTCTGTAAGCTCGCACTCATGTTCTGCTGCCACTATGATAAGACCATGCATGGTGTTATGAAAGTGCTGCCACAAGCCCGACTGACTGCTCTCCCATCCAAAGGTTGAGGTGTTTGGCAGCCTTACATAACGAGTCGTGCTGCCGCAGCACGACATTTTCGGAGCCCGAGAGTGGAGCGCCGGCAGCGGTGCTCCTGAGCAGGAGCCTCCCGGGCTGCAGTTACCTTGGGCCGCCGTGCCGCCGCCTGGTTCACCCGCTCCACTACCGACCGTAGCGCCTTCCCAACCTCCTCCGACATTGCTACTTTCCACATACCGTCAAACGGCTACGACACACCGCGTAAAGGAACGTGTCCGCGATGACGACAATCGGCTTTCAAAATAAAAGTTCAACTGCGGAGGAGGAAGTGCGTCTTTCAGATTAGCGCCCCCTATTGTCTCTGCTTCAGCATTTCAGGTTTATAAATGGTTTTTTTTATGTTATGTTGTTGTTTTACTAATGTTTTCTTTTGTTACCATAAAATGCCTTTGAGGTGTATTATTATTATTATTATTAATTATTATTATTATAAGCCATAAATAATAATATTTACCCAACAAATTCAAATGATTTATCAGGCACCCTGGTGGTCAGAATGTTCTACAGCCCCATACCAACAGACTGCTCTGCACTGTGTGTTCTGACCCCTTTCTATCAGAACCAGCATTAACTGTTTCAGCCAGTTTGAACTACAGTCAGCTCGTCTGTTGGATCGGACCACACGGGGCCAGCCTTCACTCCCCACGTGCATCAATGAGCCTCCGGCCCCCCATGACTCTGTCTCCTGGTTCTTTTCCTTCCTTTTGAGCCCTTTTGATAGGTACTGACCACTGCAGACCGGGAACACCCCACAAGAGCTGCAGGTTTGGAAGATGCTCTGACCCAGTCGTCTAGCAATCACAATGTGGCCAAAGTCAAAGGTCGCTCACATCCTCATGTTGCTCATTTTTCCTGCTTCTAACACATCAACAAAATGTTCATTTGCTGTGTAATATATCCCACCCACTGACAGGAGCCATGATAACCAGATAATCAGTGTTATTCACTTCTTCAATTCAATATAACAATAACAGTACAGAACTGATCAACTGTACAATGAACCCAATAACGGCAGGAAGTTTGTGTAAAATAAGTGATTTGGATGAATTTTGAGAAGATTATTTCCTGTGAATATTGATCAGTTTTCCTGATATTTTTAGTTACTTTTTATACAATTCTGTCTGTATTGTGTATTTTTTTATGACTTTTCAACAATCATACAGACTTAATAGTTGTTTTTGACAGATTTAGTGTTTCCTTCTCATTGTTCTATTAGCTCTTTGGCTGTTTGAATTGTTAAATGTGTTTGATTTTTGTAATGCAGGATGAGGCTGTTTAACAGAGGTCATCAGCTACTGCTTACTATATAAAAAACATCTACAATATTTAATGTTTTGTTAAAATTGATGAACTAATAAACAGCAAAATTATTTTTTAAAGGACGAGGGATTTAAATTGCATCAGAGAACTTAACATATAAGCTGATTCTCAATCAGCTGCAGGACTCCGGTTCTGGAACATACTCATGGGAATTTATGTTTTTAAATTGAACATATTGACTGAACATAAACTGAATGCACAAAATACAAAGAGAAAAAAATTTATTAACAACATCAGTATTCAAAACATATCCAAACAAAACATCCCTGGAAACTCTGATGGCAACAGAAGACTACGTGTTACAATTCAAAGAAGCACAACTGCTTTTCTGCTTTGAAACTGAACTAAACAGGGATAACAGAATGTAAAAAGGTGTGGATCATTCTCTTCTCCGCCTGCAGCCTTCTCCTCTCATACTCGCTCCAAGGCCTCCAACATGATGATGCTGTTTCCCCTGATGACCTGTGAGAAATGAGAAATGGTGACGAGATTTCAAATTAGTCAGAATAGAGCTTTCCAATAGCATCTTTCCAGAATAGTGCATTATCCCCAGATGTGTCTGGTATGGGCATGCAGAGCAGGCATATTAAACAGTGGGGTGGCCTTAAGAGAATAGGCCTTTTTCACTTTGCAAATACTTGGACCAGTCACAACCACAGGTGGAACTAAGAACATGCTCACTGAAACAAGTTGCCTTCACTTTTAATGAATTATAGAAAAAAATATATTTTGAAATTTTCACTCTAATTTTATTGCAAAAAATGCAACAGATCAGCTGTAAAATCAGGCATTTTAGGCAGCAGCAATCCCCCAAAAAGTCCATGAAATCCTGGAGGGACCGATTGTCCACACAGGTCACAGAATGGCTCGCATTTCACTCCGGTGTAAGTGCATTCACGTAACCTGCATAACTACAGTAATTGTGTTCTGGGTAGAGCTGCAACTATTAGTTGATTAATTAATTTGCATTTTTTCTGCAATGAATGCTAGGATTTAATGGGAAGTCTAAAAGAGATACTTTTTTTTCTTCTACTGTCAACTAATTATTTTGAATAAACCACACATACACGTCCTGATGCCAGAAAAACTCACTAGAACACCAAATATGGATTAATCTGCAGCTGAAAATAGCCCCAGAGAAAAATTGCATTTACCTCTTCAATAAAAACTCATTCACTACTCTACAGTGAGCATCAAAATGATGTCTGACACTGTTGTTTGGCATAGTGTCACCCAACTGACTGAACCTCCACATAGATAGGAGCGTACACGCTTTGGACCTCTCTCTCATTCCGTTGTGGGAATTCTTGAGGGCAAAACAAAGAGCAGAACTGTCTACCTAAGCAATCAGAACATCAAACAAGAAAAACAGCACAATGAAGTAAACAGGGAGTCGTTTCAGACACAGCCCTGTTCTTTTCATGGATTTGCTGACAATAGGAAAACAGAGCAAGGCCAGCCAAGGTACTCACCACCATGCCAATGTTGTTCTGTTGTCCTCCCGGGCCCATCTCCAGAGAGTCGTCCACCACCAGGTTCATAAAGGGGTCAAACCCTCGCAGGATGCCCTGCACGTGTCTGCCTCCATTCAACTTCACTAAAGGACAACCAGACAAATAACACAAACAAAATTAGTCAGGTTTAATCACTGTTCCTTTTCACTTCAAAAGTCCATAGTAAGATGCATTTGGGACTGTCCTAGCAGCTTCAGTCAGTTTGGTCATTTCCTCTCTTCAGGTTGTAGGTAACACTTTTCTATCTTTCCATCTTTATGCTGAGAGCATCACACTACTGATAGCTCAATCAGAAATCTACTCTCTTCAAGCCTCCAACACAAAGTGTCTTTCTATCTCTCTCAGCTCTGATTGGTTGTTTTCATTCAGGCCCGGTGGATTCTCGTAAATCCCATTAGGAGCTCTAGGAGGAGCCAGAGGAACCTGATTGTTTCACAGATTATCTGTCTCATGTACTGCTGTCAGGATATAGTGAAAGTTTCAGTGAATATGATAAATTATTTTAATAAATGTCACCTAGTGCAGCTTTCAGATTCACACTTATGTTGCTTCAGTGGAACATTAAAGGGAAATGTAACTAGTGTTTTCACATTACCAACAACACCGAAATCAGACATATGAAACGGGTTCATGTGTGCTTTAATCGGAGTGTGTTTGAAGATCAGCTTTTCACTGTACTCACATGAAAGCTTCTTGTCCATGAACCTGAAAGAAGAAAAATAGCATTAGCTTACGCTACGGATACTCAGACCATACATAACCCAGTACTACATGCTAGCTAATGATAGCTCCGTTTCCAATCAATACAACTAAGTAGCAGGGTTGCTGTACGAATTCCATCATTTACAGTACAAACCATGTTCAGACGACAGAGAACACAGTTATTTAAAAAGTATCCGCAACTTACTTCTTCAGCTCGGGTGGATGCGCCTTGCTCATTTTGTCTTTATCTTCTCAACGCCGACAAAGTCCCTCGTCTGATATTCGTTTCACAAAACCGCGGAAGGAAAACGTGCACCGAGGGACCGGAAGTTAACCAAAGAACTTCCTTTACTATTGCGTGTAGCCTGCCGCCATGAGGCCAGGAGGAGGCAGTGTTAATAATAAGGGGAGCAAAAGTAAATAAAACTATAAGATATTAGCTTCATAGTTAATTTCCATTAATTCGGACAGGTCGGACTCAAACTCATTGCACCCCAGCAGGGGCCCAGCCTTGGTACATGGGGCGCTGGCTCCACCAGGTGAGCTACCAGGGTGCCCCTCTCTCCTTTCTGGAGCTATTTCTGGCAGTCAGGGAGATGGAGGAGCTTCTATTTTAATACAAACCAATGAAATTTGATGAGAGGCTCTCAGGGCTTCTCAGTTACAAACACACTTTTTTGCAACATAGAGTGGGACTGGGATGTAAAGGGGCTGTAATAAATAAATAAAAATTAGACTTTTTTGTTAAACAAAAAACCCAGAAATATGTGTCATTGTATTCAAGGTAACGCTGTTTCTTGTTTGCCTCTAGTCGCTGGAATTTCCAGGTATCCAGTTTACGTCAGAGTGAGGAAGGACGTCAGCACACACAACTAAACATAACGTGAATAAAACTTTAATACATTGCCTCATCTGTGAAGAGGAGTCACACCAGACAGAATTTCATCAGTAGTGGTGGTTGTTTAACAATGAAGACAGCAAGTCCCATGATCCCATGCTACGTCACATCATCAAACTACATCTGTTGTTGTTGTGATGTGAGAGACCACCTAGCAACACAAACTTACATATTGTACGTTTAAGTTCAGTGAAAAGACATATTTGGAAAGATTTGTGTAGAAATAAAACAATGTATTTATTTCTAATGCCACCTTCAGATATTTCTATCCAGTGCTTTTGAGTTCAAATATCTTCATTTGTGGGCTTTTCCAAGAAAATATGATATTGTTTGTGATTAAATCAGCATAAAGTCTCCCTGCCAGCCTCCGGAAAACTTGTGAATAATTCTCTAGTTTAGCACCTGGTGGGACTGGTGGGACTTATATTTTATATGTGCTTCTCTCCAACCAAAAAAAAACAGTGTCATATTTTGCTGTAAATATGGAGGGTTGATTGTATTACCACTACTCCACTAGCCAGTCATCATTTCCCTTCTGCTGTAGAATATGCTGAGTTGTAAATGTTGCAAATGTAGCATCCAAACAAATATAAACAGTGCAATAAAGTGTGCAGAAGGGAACACTTTGCAGAGAAAGCTAACTACCCAGTTGACCAGTATGAACAACCTGACTGTATTTACAAGCTCATTAAAAAGACAAGAGACAAAACATCATCATGAGAATTAAGTTTTATTATGTTATCTATAAAGAGCCATATACTAATTTACAAAAGACCTCAAAAAAGTGGAAGCTTCAAAACCTATTAAATAATGTTCTATATTTTCACAGTAGCTGAAAATCCTTTAGAAAAAAAGAAAAGAGTCCTGTTGATTCTAGTTCCTTCACCAAAGCGTACTTCTCAAGCATCACAGACATTCAGCAAGCAGGGCCGCGATCAGTCTGTTTGCATAGCTAGGTAATATCACCCGAGAACATGCCAGCTACAAAGACAGGCCACAACCAAAGGCATTGTATTGGGGTTAACTATACATGACAGCCATTGAAATCTATAGATTATGGCAATAACAACTACAACATGTTAGAACCTTGAAACAGCACATAGAAACACTCATGTTCACATTTCACACTTTGTGATTTCATTCATACCTTGGGGCAGCACTTAAGCCTCTGCAGTCACGATCAAATCCAGTGCAAATATCCAGGTTCAACACAAGACAGAGACAATCCAGAAAGTGGACACCAGAGTTCCCACCACTCTCTCTCTAATTACTGCCACATTTTGAAGAGAAAAAAATGATTAAAATACAGCAGAATGTGACCTTAATTAGCTAAAGCACTCCAGATGTCTGGTGTAAAAATAGACCAACAAGATGTTTCTGGCAGTGCTTTGGCGAGAACGTATCATGGTTGTGCAGATGGCCTCAATTCCCAAAAATCACCTTGTGACCAAGACGACCTCAGTCCCACTGTTAAGAGTACGGGCACGTCTCAACTTTGACATGTTTTTGGGAAGCACGGTGAACTGTATTAGGTAGTGGCATGACAGTAATGGCAAACTATCAAAGAAGCACACTGGTGTTTTTGCATGTTTTTTCAGGCTGCCACAGGTTTCAGTGTATTTCATTAAAGGTCCAGTGTGTAATATTTAGGAGGATCTGTTGTCAGAAATGGAATATAATCTTTATAGGTATGTTTTCATTGGTGTATAATCACCTGAAAATAACAATTGTTGTGATTTTGTTACCTTAGAATGAGCTGTTTGTATCTACAGAGAGAGGGGGTCCTCTTCTGGCGGAGTCCACCAAGACCCTACAGTAGCCCAGGGACAAACCAAACACTGGCTGTAGACAGGGCCACTAATGTGTTGATACTCCGATTTATCTTACAGCTGTCTGCTAAACAACATACATGTGATCCTCTTGTGGTGGCCACATTTACATTTGATTTTTACAACAACATAGCTTGTTAGTGCAACGCTGCAACATATTAAAAAGTTCCTATCCTAACCTATCTACAGCCAGTGTTTGCTTTGTTCTTTCCGGGCGACTGACATGGCTCATTCTAAGACAACTGAAATGCAACACTTCTTATTTTCAGGCAGTTATACACTAATGAAAACA